TTTCATCTAAGAAGTGTGGGGGGCAGAAATGTGCATCCGGTTAGATGAAAACCCAAAACGGGTTAGATGTAAGGCCATCCGGTTAGATAAAAAGGGGTTTTCGTTAGATAAAATGGGGTTTCGGTTAGGTTTTTCGGCCTCCGGTTAGGTAAAATTATCTAACACTGGACCTTAGGGCGCACTCTAATAAGGGGGAAAAAAAGGGGGTTAATTCTAAAAATAATTTTTGCCTGGGCGACAACTTCGTAGTCGAACCCTAAATTTTTAGGCCTTACGGCACTGTGCGCCTACGAAGTGCCTTTTTTTATGAGGGTGTTGCTTTGGTGTTGAGCAAGTAAATGCTAATAAGCGTGCCATGTGATGATCCATGCAGAGGGCAAGCAAACCGGTTGAAAACGGCCCTGTGGCATGGCGATGTGCTTTGAAGGCTAGTAACGGTCGTTGTCCAGGTTCACGTGCAGCTTCGGATTGATTTGCGTGTTTGTGTGGTTGCGGGTATTGGTGCTTGTATTGAGGTTTTGTTCTGTCAACATTTTGTTCATTGATCATGGCTCTTGATGATCAGAAGCAAGGCAAGAATCTGATCAAGGAGCTCCAAAAGCCTTGCAAGCCCTCCAGCTGGATGCGTTCGCGCATGAACAATGGGAACAAGTCAGGGGCAATATGCCCGCTTTATGCGTCGCGTGCAAGAAAGGCCAAGAGATGAAACACAAGCGCAAGCTCAATGCTGACAGCCAAGTGATCTACATGTGCACCGGCTGTAACCAAAACAAATTGGCAGCTGCCTTTCCACGAGCACAGCTGCTGCAAGCGCATGCCGAAACGCAACGGCAATGTTTAAAGTGTTTGCAAGTACAGGGGACTGAGATGCGATGTTGCCGGTGCTCGAACAGCAAAGCACTCCGAGAGTTTCCGCCCCAAATGGTCACCATGCCTCTGGATGGCATCGTATGCTTGCAGTGCCAAGATGAATTGCAGCCGCCAACGCGCAAGCTGGTGGGGGATGGCTACTTCGCTTGCAAAACTTGCGCCAAGATTTACCCCGATGTAGTCGGCAAGGGCCAGGGCCAGGGCCGCAGTTGCATGAACTGTCCAACCCGGGAACGCAGAAAAGTCGGGGAGCAGACCTGCCGCAAAGCTGCTTGCAAGAGAAAGTGGGTCGAGGAGGAGCATCCTGAGGATGGCAAGAGGCCACTGCGATATTGCCCGGCTTGCCGCCAATAGCATGCTTGAGGCAGCCAATAGCGCTCGCCCTGCACTGTCAAGAGTAGCAAAATCACGGCATGGACAGGCATCATCACCGTACAGCACATTGGAGAGAAAAGGTTTGCGGAGCCATGCAGCACCTCAAAGCTGTTGTGCTGGGTCAAATAAAGAAGTGTGCAGTATCAAGCGCGTTGCATTTCACATAGCAAGCGTAGCAAATTCTGCAGCCTCCCGCTTTAGTTTTGTGATTGCAAATCACACCTCACCAAGCTACGGCCAAGATGTTCTGAAGCCGCGCGTGTGCCTCCCCTATGTGCCACAATATATATGCTTGTTGCGTTTTGCTTCTTGGTTTGCTGGCTGCGGTGCCTTGCCAGCAGCAAGAGCAGGGCTTACGCCTCAACCTCGCGGAAATATAGCATGTGTTGTGCTTTGGCAGGCCGCAATCATTAACAACACCCGAGGGAAACATCCACAAAATGCTCCTGTCACTGCTTGCTTGGCTTGATCCTTTGTAGTTTCTTTGCTTCTGGGCCCAAGCATGCTGTCAGCCTGATCCAGAATATGAGACTATGCCTCCCTTGCAAGCATGATATAAGAATAGCAAGCGATAAAATTGGCCTGTGGCAAAAAAGCAGGACGCCACAGCGCGGTATTAGATATGAATTGTGCTAGAAGAAATATCACTTCTGCTCAGGTGTATGCGCACCTGAAGGAGCAGGCACTGTCAGACACAGGCTCTATTAGATGTGGGCTGTGTTAAGTGACAGCCAAGGAAGCTTTCTGGGGGCCTTCTGGGAGTCTTCTGGTAAGCACAAAAATCCAAACTTTCAAGGCATCAAAACGGAGTTTATTTCAATACTAAAAAATGCTTGTTTTAAAGGGTCCAACGCCAAATCCTGACCCTTGGCTTTTTTTTTCCGGGGCTGCCCTGAAATTTACCAGGAGCTTTCAGGTAGGCATGAAAACTACCTTTAGACAGGAATTTCTGTCACACTTAACCGACACCTGCTGTCAGATAATTCCTTTCATCTAAAGAAAAAGGTTGTTTTAGATAGAGCTGGTGCGTGTTAGATGACGTGGGGCCTTCTGGGAGTCTTCTGGTAAGCACAAAATTCCAAAATTTCAAGGCATCAAAACGGAGTTGATTTCAATACTAAAAAATGCTTGTTCTAAAGGGTACAACGCCAAATCCTGACCCTGGGCTTTTTTTTGGGGCTGCCCTTAAATTTACCAGTAGCTTTCTGGTAGGCATGAAAATTAGCTTTTAGACAGGAATCTCTGTCACACTTAACCGACGCCTGCTGTCAGATAATTGCTTTCATCTAAAGAAAAAGGTTGTTTTAGATAGAGCCGGTGCGTGTTAGATGACGTGGGGCCTTCTGGGAGTCTTCTGGTAAGCCCAAAAATCCAAAATTTCAAGGCATCAAAACGGAGTTGATTTCAATACTAAACAATGCTTGTTCTAAAGGGTCCAACGCCAAATCCTGACCCTGGGCTTTTTTTCGGGGCTGCCCTGAAATTTACCAGTAGCTTTCAAGTAGGCATGAAAACTACCTTTAGACAGCAATTTCTGTCACACTTAACCGACACCTGCTGTCAGATAATTCCTTTCATCTAAAGAAAAAGGTTGTTTTAGATAGAGCTGGTGCGTGTTAGATGACGTGGGGCCTTCTGGGAGTCTTCTGGTAAGCGCAAAAATCAAAAATTTCAAGGCATCAAAACGGGGTTGATTTCAATACTAAAAATTGCTCATTTTAAAGGGTCCAACGCCAAATCCTGACCCTTGGCTTTTTTTTTCGGGGGCTGCCCTGAAATTTACCAGTAGCTGTCTGGTAGGCATGAAAATTAGCTTTTAGACAGGAACTTCTGCCACACTTAACCGACACCTGCTGTCAGATAATTGCTTTCATCTAAAGAAAAAGGTTGTTTTAGATAGAGCTGGTGCGTGCTAGATGACGTGGGGCCTTCTGGGAGTCTTCTGGTAAGCACAAAAAAATGCAAACTTTCAAGGCATCAAAACGGAGTTTATTTCAATACTAAAAAATGCTTGTTTTAAAGGGTCCAACGCCAAATCCTGACCCTGGGCTTTTTTTCGGGGCTGCCCTGAAATTTACCTGTAGCTTTCAGGTAGGCATGAAAACTACCTTTAGAAAGGAACTTCTGCCACACTTAACCGACACCTGCTGTCAGATAATTCCTTTCATCTAAAGAAAAAGGTTGTTTTAGATAGAGCTGGTGCATGTTAGATGACATGGGGCCTTCTGGGAGTCTTCTGGTCAGTACAAAAAATGCAAAATTCCAAGGCATCAAAACAGAGTTGATTTCAATACTAAAAAATGCTTGTTTTAAAGGGTCCAACGCCAAATCCTGACCCTGGGCTTTTTTCCGGGGCTGCCCTGAAATTTACCAGGAGCTTTCAGGTAGGCATGAAAACTACCTTTAGACAGGAATTTCTGTCACACTTAACCGACACCTGCTGTCAGATAATTCCTTTCATCTAAAGAAAAAGGTTGTTTTAGATAGAGCCGATGTGTGCTAGATGACGTGTGGCCTTCTGGGAGTCTTCTGGTAAGCACAAAAAATGCAAAATATCAAGGCATCAAAACGGAGTTGATTTCAATACTAAAAAATCCTTGTTTTAAAGGGTCCAATGCCAAATCCTGACCCTGGGCTTTTTTTTGGGGGCTGCCTTCAAATTTACCAGTAGCTTTCTGGTAGGCATGAAAAAGTCTTTTAGACAGGGATTCCTCCCATACTTAACCGACACCTGTAGCTAGACAATACTAGTTCATCTAAAGAGAAAGGCTGTTTTAGATAGAGCCGATGTGTGCTAGATGACGTGGGGCCTTCTGGGAGTCTTCTGGTAAGCACAAAAATTGCAAAATTTCAAGGCATCAAAGCGGAGTTGATTTCAATACTAAAAAATGCTCATTTTGCAGGGGTCAATGCCAAATCCTGATCCTGGGCTTTTTTTCGGGGACTGCCTTGAAACTTACCAGTAGCTTTCAGGCAGGCATAAAAAGATACCTTTTAGAAAGGAACTTCTGCCACACTTAACCGACACCTGCTGGTAGACAATACTCTTTCATCTAAAGAGAAAGGCTGTGTTAGATAGAATCGGAGTGTACTTAGATAACGCAATCATCTAACTGGTGAAAAGTATCATCTAAGTGAGATGACGCTATCATCTAACCGGTGAAAATTATCATCTAAGTGAGATGAGGCCATCATCTAACCGGTGAAAATTTTCATCTAAGAAGTGTGGGGGGCAAAAATGTGCATCCGGTTAGATGAAAACCCAAAATGGGTTAGATGTAAGGCCATCCCGTTAGATAAAAAGGGGTTTTCGTTAGATAAAATGGGGTTTCGGTTAGGTTTTTTGGCCTCCGGTTAGATAAAACTATCTAATACATGGTCTTAGGGCGTGCTCTTCTTTGAGGGGGAAAAAAAGGGGGATTCTAAGACTAGTTTTGACCTGGGCGACAACTTCGTAGTCGGACCCTAAATTTTTAGGCCTTACGGCACTGTGCGCCTACGAAGTGTTTTTTTTATGAGAGTGTTGCTTTGGTGTTGAACATGTAAATGCTAATAAGCGTGCCATGTGCTGATCCATGCAGAGGGCAAGCAAACCGGTTGAAAACGGCCCTGTGGCATGGCGATGTGCTTTGAAGGCTAGTAACGGTCGTTGTCCAGGTTCACGTGCAGCTTCGGATTGATTTGCGTGTTTGTGTGGTTGCGGGTATTGGTGCTTGTATTGAGGTTTTGTTCTGTCAACATTTTGTTCATTGATCATGGCTCTTGATGATCAGAAGCAAAGCAAGAATCTGATCAAGGAGCTCCAAAAGCCTTGCGCAGTATGCCGCCGCTGTGAGCAAGCCCTCCAGCTGGATGCGTTCGCGCATGAGCAATGGGAACAAGTCAGGGTCAATATGCCAGCTTTATGCGTCGCGTGCAAGAAAGGCCAAGAGATGAAACACAAGCGCAAGCTCAATGCTAACAGCCAAGTGATCTACATGTGCACCGGCTGTAACCAAAACCACTTGGCAGCTGCCTTTCCACGAGCACAGCTGCTGCAAGCACATGCCGAAACGCAACGGCAATGTTTAAAGTGTTTGCAAGTACAGAGGACTGAGATGCGATGTTGCCGGTGCTCAACAGCAAAGCACTCCGAGAGTTTCCGCCCCAAATGGTCACCATGCCTCTGGATGGCATCGTGTGCTTGCAGTGCCAAGATGAATTGCAGCCGCCAACGCGCAAGCTTGTGGGGGATGGCTACTTCGCTTGTCAAAATTTGCGCCAACATTTACCCCGATGTAGTCGGCAAGGGCCAGGGCCAGGGCCGCAGTTGCATGAACTGTCCAACCCGGGAACGCAGAAAAGTCGGGGAGCAGACCTGCCGCAAAGCTGCCTGCAAGAGAAAGTGGATCGAGGAGGAGCATCCTGAGGATGGCAAGAGGCCACCGCGATATTGCCCGGCTTGCCGCCAATAACATGCTTGAGGCAGCCAATAGCGCTCGCCCTGCACTGTGAAAGATAGCAAAATCACGGCATGGACAGGCATCATCACCGTACAGAACTAGGCACATTGGAGAGAAAAGGTTTTCGGAGCTATGCAGTACCTCAAAGCTGTTGTGCTGGGTCAAATAAAGAAGTGTGCAGTATCAAGCGCGTTGCATTTCACATAGTAAGCGTATCAAATTCTGTAGCCTCCCGCTTTAGTTTTGTGATTACAAATCACACCTCACCAAGCTACGGCCAAGATGTTCTGAAGCCGCGCGTGTGCCTCCCCTATGCGCCACAATATATATGCTTGTTGTGTTTTGCTTCTTGGTTTACTGGCTGCGGTGCCTTGCCAGCAGCCAGAGCAGGGCTTACGCCTCAATCTCGCGGAAATACAGCATGTGTTGTGCTTTGGCAGGCCGCAATCATTAACAACACCCGAGGGAAACATCCACAAAATGCTCCTGTCACTGCTTGCTTGGCTTGATCCTTTGTAGTTTCTTTGCTTCTGGGCCCAAGCATGCTGTCAGCTTGATCCAGAATATGAGATTATGCTTCCCTTGCAAGCATGATATAAGAATAGCAAGCGACAAAAATTTGCCTGTGGCAAAAAAGCAGGACACCACAGCGCGGTATTAGATATGAATTGTGCTAGAAGAAGTATCACTTCTGCTCAGGTGTATGCGCACCTGAAGGAGCAGGCACTGTCAGACACAGGCTCTATTAGTCTATTAGATGTGGGCTGTGTTAAGTGACAGTCAAGGAAGCTTTCTGGGGGCCTTCTAGGAGTCTTCTAGTAAGCACAAAAACCTAAAACTTTAAGGCACCAAAACGGAGTTGATTTCAATACTAAAAAATGCTCATTTTACAGGGGTCAATGCCAAATCCTGACCCTGGGCTTTTTTTCGGGGGCAGCCTTGAAACTTACCAGTAGCTTTCAGGTAGGCATAAAGAAATACCTTTTAGACAGGAACTTCTGCCACACTTAACCGACACCTGCTGTCAGATAATTCCTTTCATCACACGGGGCCTTCTGGGAGCCTTCTGGTAAGCACAAAAAATGCAAAATTTCAAGGCATCAAAACGGAGTTGATTTCAATACTTAAAAAAGCTTGTTTTAAAGGGTCCAACGCCAAATCCTGACCCTGGGCTTTTTTTCGGGGCTGCCCAGAAATTTACCAGTAGCTTTCAGGTAGGCATAAAGAAATACCTTTTAGACAGGAACTTCTGTCACACTTAACCGGCACCTGCTGTCAGATAATTCCTTTCATCTAAAGAAAAAGGTTGTTTTAGATAGAGCTGGTGCGTGTTAGATGACGTGGGGCCTTCTGGGAGTCTTCTGGTAAGCACAAAAAATGCAAAATTTCAAGGCATCAAAACGGAGTTGATTTCAATACTAAAAAATGCTCATTTTACAGGGGTCAATGCCAAATCCTGACCCTGGGCCTTTTTTCGGGGCTGCCCTGCAATTTACCAGTAGCTTTCAGGCAAGCATAAGAAAATACCTTTTAGACAGGAACTTCTGCCACACTTAACCGACACCTGCTGGTAGACAATACTCTTTCATCTAAGGGGAAAGGCTGTCTTAGATAGAGCCGGTGCGTGTCAGATGACATGGGGCCTTCTAGGAATCTTCTGGTAAGCACAAAAAATTCAAAATTCCAAGGCATCAAAACGGAGTTGATTTCAATACTAAAAAATGCTCATTTTACAGGGGTCAATGCCAAATCCTGACCCTGGGCCTTTTTTCGGGGCTGCCTTGAAACTTACCAGTAGCTTTCAGGCAGGCAAAAAGAAAATACCTTTTAGACAGGAACTTCTGCCACACTTAACCGACACCTGCTGGTAGACAATACTCTTTCACCTAAAGAGAAAGGCTGTCTTAGATAGAGCCGGTGCGTGTCAGATGACATGGGGCCTTCTAGGAATCTTCTGGTAAGCACAAAAAATTCAAAATTCCAAGGCATCAAAACGGAGTTGATTTCAATACTAAAAAATGCTCATTTTACAGGGGTCAATGCCAAATCC